CCACATCACATTGTTGGCTCATGTTTAACTTGTTGTCCACGAGGACTCCAAGATCTTTTTCACACGTACTGAACACTTCTCCAATTGTGTTTCTGGCATGTTTGCATGGCGCGCTCTTTTATCTCCCCGCTGAGGCAGTACCTATTGATCTACTCGCGTTACATGCTTTCTAATTGCTTGGTAGGTAGAAGCTCGGGCTGACAGCTGGGAGCTCACCCCAACTTGCAGCTTCGAACTGCTAACCCTCCAGTCAGCAGATTTGCTGCAGCTAGCGGTTTAACCCACTGCTCTACCACGACTCTCAACTTCTTAATGCAACTTCTAAAGAACCATTCTCTGTTTATCTCTTCTGTTTTGCTGTATATCTTTATGGTGACATGCCATAAAGATCGTTGTTTCAAATGACTGGATTTGGGGGGGGGGGAGGGGGGGTGTAAGAAAGGCCATGGCATGACATTTGGCATGGCCAATGAAACATTTCAGACAACCATTTGACCAACATCAAACATTCCAAACTTTAACATTTTCATATTTGTGCAGTAAGTTCTAGAAACTTTCCACCTGGGTGGTCTTTTATAGTATGAAAAAGAAATACTTCATAGCTCTGAGTAAACCTAGCAGCATAACAGCTACTATTATTGACCATGGTAGGCACCCAAAAATAGGAACATATCAAATACTTATCAATGGAAAATGTTATTTCACCTGATTCCGTTTTTTAAAGTACACCTAGTATTTCAGAATAAAAACTTAAGTGCTCTTTAGTGAATCATCCACATTTAAAGAAATCTTATCAAATGCTGCTAAATTTTCTAATAGCATTTTAATCATAATTCTTTATAAATTTAATTTACTTTTGTAATGCACTGAAGCAAAAGACTCTTCATTTCATTGTTTCTGTTTCTGCAGTGAGGCAGTTTGGGAGAACATGGCCCGCATGTGTGTGAAGACCCAAAGGCTGGATGTGGCCCGAGTCTGTCTGGGGAACATGGGCCATGCCCAAGGAGCCAAGGCATTACGAGAGGCTGAACAAGAGCCAGAGCAAGAAGCCAGGGTTGCCATGTTGGCAATCCAGCTGGGCATGCTGGTCAGTAGAGTGCTTCTCTTCAGATCAAACTTCTCTCGGTTTGGGCATCTGCAAACAAAGGCTCCTCCCTAGCAGTACTTAACAGCAAAAGCCTTGGAGGCAGGCAGGTGAAAAGGGAGAGTCGCATCTTCATCTTCGTTGAATTGGCTTTATTGCTGTACTTTGCATTTTTTCCATATTTCACAAATAACCCATTCATGTATTGTCAAAGGCTTTCATGACCGGAATCACTGGAGTGTTGTGTGGTTTCTGGGCTGAATGACCATGTTCTAGCAGTCTTTTCTCCGGACGTTTTGCCTGCATCTGTGGTTGGCATCTTCAGACGATGGTAGTCAAGCAAATGGAATATCCAGGGTGGGAGAAAATAACAATTGTCTATTAAACAAGTATAAATGGTGCAGTTAGCAAGCTCCATTTGTATGTTTTGAGTGGTATCCATTCATTAGCATGTGAGTAATCATGAAGATAGCATAGCCAATGATGCGAGGGCATCTGCCTAGAAGTAGCCTGGGCTCTGTTCCCTTTGAACCGCTTGCTGCCTGGAGACATCCTTTGCCTGGATGGTGTTCACTAGCCCTTTATTGCTTACTGTCTGAACACATCCTGTGTTTGGGTGGTGTTCATTAGTCACTGTCTTGATTCTAGTGTTTTTCAATACTGGTAGCCAATTTTTGTTCATTTCCATGGACAATTTCAACAGAAAGGAAAAAACCACAAAAATGAACAATTTTTGGCTACAAGTATTGAAAAACACCAGAATCAAGATATTGACTAATGTAATGAATACCACCCAGGCACAGGAGGTCTCCAAGCAATTATTCTTTTCTTCCACCCTAGACATTCCATGGGTATATATACTCAACCTGCTTGACTATCATCAGAACCTCTGATGATGCCAGCCACAGATGCAGGCAAAACAACTGTTAGAACACAGCCATACAACCCGGAAACCACACAGCATCCCAATCCATTGATTACTCATATGGCACCTTACCATGGTAGGCGGCACAGTGATATCAACTTCACTTGTGCAATTAAACAGGCTGGCATATAAGACTGGGCAGTTGATTTAGGGTTCTTTGGTTAGAAGACCTATGTCAGATTTGGGAGGTTCTTCACAATGATGATGATGATAATAATGAAAATGATAGTAATAATAAATTTATTACCTGCCTCTCCCTGTGGCTTGAGGTAGGGTACAACAAAATCATTAAAATGAGATAAAACATTGAGGTGTTTTGTGGTTTCCGGGCTGTATGAACATTTTCTAGCAGGATCCTCTGAAGATGTGCCAGCCACAGATGCAGGCGAAACATCAGAAGAAAATGCTGCTAGAACACATTGGCCATAAACATAAACCACACAACACCTCAGTGATTGCGGCCGTCAAAGCCGTCGACAATACAGATAAAACACTATTAAAACACATACAACAAGATACACAAAGTTAAAATACAAGATAAAATCTACTTAAACTCTACTTATTAACTGTGATATATATTGATTGTTTTAACTGTCTTAAGTGTTTTAATTGCTGTTTTGCACGTTTATTTGTATTATTGTGTAGGCATCGAATTGTGCCTTTTTATAAGCCGCCCTGAGTCCCCCCTCGGGGGTTGAGAAGGGCGGGGTAGAAGTACACGAAATAATAAATACTGATGAAATACAGATTATATTCCCAACTTTAAATTGACTGGATAGGCATTCATTCAGCCTTGTTGCAGAATAAAGAATTAATGGTCAAAGGCTCAGGAGTATGTGTACACACACACACACACATACGGGGGGGGGGGGGGGGGGGGGGAGAGAGAGAGTTAGGATTGGTATAATACCCAAAAGTCTGCCTTAAGGCCCTGTGTGAAGATACTAACTTGCTTTTGAAGAAGAAGCTGTAACTGACATACCAATGTGGACCCTGCAACTCCCTCTCAACACTTGGTGTGTCCTCTCTCTTGCTTTATTTTGGGCCGGTAGTTTAAATACTTATGATCCGACATCCATATCTACTTAGCTTTCAAGCTGTGTTAAAAGTTCAAAGCCTGTGACAGAGGGACAGCTTTTCCCAAGCTTCATTCGCCTCTGGGAAAGAGATGCTTCCAAGATAGAAGTGGCCCTTTCCAGCTTGTTGGAGTGGAGCCGGTTCCTAGAACAGCCGCCCTGCCCTGCGGGAGGATGCCGCCTCCCCCATGAAATGACCTGGAGGTCAGGTTGCCTTAGTACTTTCCTTATTTTTATTTAAACATCCTGTCTCACTCATAATGCTTCTATTCTGGGCTGCGTCAACTCCCGTGATTTTTCATATTTCTTGTTGTTTGGCAATCTCAAAATGCGCAGTTCCTGCTCTTGAAATGAAAGACAAAATAACCATCTCTTTATTTTGTCATTGTGTGCTATCCCAGTTCGTATTACTAAATGGCTTTTATGTCTAATCATGACATTAATTTTCAGAAGTTTGAAACACAAAATACATTTGTTTTATTTATTTATTTATTTATTTACTTACTTACTTACTGAGGGTGGATCACAGAACATATATATACAGCAAACATTCGAGGCTGTTTTATACACAAACAAGACAATTGTACATAGATAGATAGATAGATAGATAGGTATATCAGCTTTTCCCATCTTTGGCATCTTGGAAGCTTTGTAAGCGATTTTGGCCATGGGGTGGGGGTGCTGTCACTCCATCTCCCTGCCGAAGAGCTTTGTTTGTAAACTGCCTCCTTTTGATGAAATTGCTGGCATTCCTTATGGGTGCCTCAGAATACCTCCCCGATTTTAAGCAGTACCTATTTATTCACATTTGCTTCCGCTAGGTAGGCGGAAGCTGGGCTAAAGGCCAGGAGCTCACCTTGACCTGGGCTTCGAACTGGCAGACTTTCGACTGACAAGATTTACTGCAGCTGGTGGTTTAACCTGCTGTGCTAAAGCCCAGCCCAACTAATATTATTAGTCCCTTTCAAGTGACACCATTAGCTTAGTATTTGTCACTTCTTACGGTAGCAGCACAAAATGTCCTAATGCAAAGCAATTTGGTAACATCGCATGAGGATAAGGAGTCCCCAGCATTTATCCTACAATTGGACCACAGGGATTTCTTTCCTTATATGTGACAGGCTTTTAGGATAGACAATGGTCTTAAAATGGAATGAGAAGAAAGAGGTTTTGTCTCAACTCTGGCAAGTTATCTCTTAGAAACAATATTTGCATTTGTCTACAAGTAAAATCAACATCTATTAAATTAATAGCTGCTGATATGCTATAGAGGAAGCATGGGCAAACTTTGGCCCTCCAGGTGTTTTGGACTTCAACTCCCACAATTCCTAACAGCCTCAGGCCCTTTTCTTTTCCCCCTCAGCCACTTAAGCAGCTGAGGGGGAAAAGGAAGGGGGCTGAGGCTGTTAGGAATTGTGGGAGTTAAAGCCCAAAACACCTAGAGGGTGATTCACAGCGGCGTAAAAATAGGGGCTCACTTTCTTAACTTCCTTCTGACACAATTTAGAGTGATATTTGAAGGCAGCATATTTGGTTCATGTACCTGATGAGCATTCTGACTATGTTGACTTCTTGTTGTTGTAGCATATTTGTCCTTTGTGATCCTGTCTTCTGTGTTGCCTATGTATTGTAGAGGATTATTATGTATAGGGAAACTCTGTTTTTGAATGTGTTATCATTCAGACAAAGTTCTCTATACTCATTACTCTGGTTTCTCTTCCAGGAAGATGCGGAGCGACTGTACAAGCAGTGCAAGCGCTATGACCTCTTAAACAAGTTCTACCAGGCCTCCAACCAGTGGCAGAAAGCCATGGAAGTTGCCGAGGCGCATGACCGTGTCCACTTGCGCACTACCTATTACAATTACGCCAAGCATTTGGAAGCTACCGCTGACCTCAGTCTTGCGCTCACCTAGTAAATGTTAACATTTAATCCAAACCTAATTGCATTGATGTCTGTCAAAGAGTGCTGTTGCTGCACCCTGCTGTGTTTCTGGGAGGGGGAAATATCTATCATTGCATCTAATAGCAGCTTTTAAAACAAATACACTAGTTTAGTGGTCCTGCTGTTGAGCCAGTAAGATTGTGTGCATTATGGAACACTGTGTGATATATTCCCTTTTGCCCTTCAGCTCTCTCTCTGTCCCCATACCTGACGAGTCCAAAGCAATGGACAGTATAGTGCACCAAACAAATGCAGAATAGCCATTTCAGCCTAATAATACAAGATGGCTACCAACAAATACATTCATGGTCTGCCGGTCGTAGCAATTTTACGATGCCAGGAAATGGTTTGTAAAATAGGATTTTTTTCATGTCAGAAGCAACTTGAGAAACTGCAAGTCGCTTCTCGTGTGAGAGAATTGGCTGTCTGCAAAGACGTTGCCCAAGAGATGCCTCGATGTTTTACCATCCTATGGGAGGCTTCCCTCATGTCCCCGCATGAGAAGCTGGAGCTGACAGACAGGAGCTCACCCCTGTTGCGGTTTGTTAGTTTATATTGAATCTACACAGCAGTCCTCCCAGCTCCAGATCCCAAGTTGAT